CTTATGGCAACAGTCTGTACAGGGCCCCGCAAGAACCCTCAAAACCTTGGAAGTTTCTCCTTTCTGGGTGGGGAAGAAGCCTTGAAGAACACTACCGAAACCCAGCAGAAATCACAAGAAAAGAAACTTATTATCTACCGTCTTCTTGTCAGGTTCTCCTCGAATGCTGGACTCGGGTGAGGTAGTGGCACAGTCCAAGGACTCGATTGGCTGGATCCCTCGACAACGAACTGAATCAAAGGAAAACAAGAAGAACTAAGAAAACAAAATGAAGCATTGCAATCAAGCGAAGTTTGACGGAGAAAGACTGCTCTCGTCAAGCTGTCTGAAGTGAACGGCACATGCTCCTGTTTCAAGAAACATTGCATGAAAACATTACTCTAAAGTATATTCTTGCCTCTTAAAAGACAGGGCGGGCAACCTGGTCTGCTATTTCTCCGCCGGCCGGCCGGTCGGCTAGTACGCAATCGGGCCAGCTTGTTAGGCGATCGGCTGGGCTGGCCATGTATGGCTCGAATAGCTAGTGTGCAGTTGGTTGACTGGGTGGGCGGCTGGCCCGCTGATCGAGAAATAGCGGTCCGCGTGTCTCGCAATGCAAAAATAGGAAAGGAACCAAATAATCCCGGAAAGCATCGTCCAAGACCCAAACCCTTCGTTTGGCACCTTGTGGGAAAAGGCAAAGTGAGGTGCCCACTTCATTTGGGTGTCATCTCCAATTCCCAACTGGCACCGCATCTCCCAAATTGCAGATGGCCTGATGGCTTCCGATGGCAGCGTACTTAAAATGGTTGCTCAAAACTCCCCTTCAAATATACCAAAAGGCTTCAAAAAGGGTTACAATGGTTGGGGTGCCTGGCAGAATGTTGAACATTTGATACACAATCGCGAAAGAAAACGTGTTGAGGAAAGAACTTGTGAAACCGAGTGGCATGGTGTTGAAATTATCCGTCTTCGAAGTGAAATTGGTCACTTGCCCTTGACCAGGGCCTGGGGCGCGGCTTCCAGATTGCCGCCTGTGCATACGGCGGCGAAATCCTACTACCGAGAGGCGGAAAAGAATTAAAAGAATGTCTGATCTTGTGGTTGTTCTGTCATTTTAAACATATTTCGATCTTATACATACTATATGTATATATATATATATATGTTTGTTTTGATGTTTATTAGATCTATTCGCTCAGAAACTAAGTACACAGTGCTGTCTCTTTTCTCTGTCTTTCCTTTCTTGTTCTACCTTCACCTTTGGGCCAAATCCAGCACTCGAAGGCAGCTCCCCGGATGCAGCTCCAGCCTACCGGGCCTACCGGGCCCTAAATCCGGATCGTCATTTTGTTCCAATTTGTTTATCTCAGACATGCTTCAAAAGGAAAAGCATTGCGACAGAAGCTCTGAAAGCACTGCCTGGCACGAGTCAAGGTCTCTGACAAAAGCTTTGCCAAAAGTTTCTGAAGCTCCTTCGTTTCTTCCATGTTATTCCTATACACCACTTTCCTCTCGATGCTGCAAAACATGCACTGCAACCACCATCCTTGCCCTGTTTTTGAATTTTTGGAGCCTTTGCGTAACGAGCTAGCAGTGACTAGCTGCGAAGTCCAAGTCTCACTTGATTGCCTCCTCCAAACTCAGCTTTGGTGGGTCCGTTCCTCTGTAAGCCGCCTCACCGGCATGGCCTACGTCTTCACGACGGCTATGTCTGTCAAAGCCGAAGTCCGCAACAGCAAGCCAGCGGTGGCGCCACCACTTTTCTTCTGGAACGCATACCCACAGGTCATGCACAGGGAGAACAAGGACACAGTGATAACCCCAGGCAAGCAGCAGTTCCGGCGCTGTCTCCTCGCCATGCTCACAAGCAATGATTGGACGGAATCGCTGGATAGTCTGTTGGCCACCACGCAGCACCTTGTCAAGGGCACCTTCCACATCAATCTTCATGAAGTGAACGTCGTCCAACTGGAAAGAGTCAAAGGTTTCCACCTGCACATTCTCCTCCCCCTCATATTGCAGAACGTGATTCTCACCGTAGACCTCCTTTGCTTGCAGAAACACTGTAGCACTTTTGTTGCTCGATCGTTGTAGGGTCGGGCTCTTCGGATTTGTCTCAAGCACCGCATCTTCATAGCACAGCAACCTCCCAAGCGCACAAACAGCATCCACACCTCTTTCTATCCTACCCTGTCCTACCCTACTAATAGCAATGGCCCCAACCTACTAGCCATGGGCTCCAACCTAGAAGCATCTCGTTTTGAAAAGCACGTGTCTCTCGCCTTTGATTTTTCTGCATAATCTTTGGCCAACTTGACCTCGGTGGCTGCGAGTCACTTGCGGTCTCGATGGCCTCCAACTGAATGGCAAACTATATTAGACCTACTATTAGACCTTTCCTCCTTTTCTTTATTCTTTGTTTCTAACAGCGATGGCCTCCAATCTACTAGCGATGGCCTCCAACCTAAGAGCGATGGACTAGAGATGTGGTCAAAATGAACTGAGCCCCTCACTTTCACTGCCTGGCCGTTCCTTAGGGTCATGCCGTATCCACTCTTTGTGCGACATGTTTCGACATCCGAATCAAGTCAAGAACGTGGACGCCGTGAAGCCCAGGTCGGCTTTTAGAATCGCCTGGCAGGTCAGGAGGGGAAGAGAAATAAGAAAGAAAAGAACATGAGATTAGGAGAATTCTCTGATTAGATCAAACCCCAAGAGGCTGCTTGAGGAGAAGTCAAAAGGAGCACATTTGGTCACGACATGGCACCCCACCGGAGCTCACCCGGTGAACTACTCAAAAGAAAAGGTCAAGGAGAGCACCAATCTTAGAGCCCCAAAATCCACGACCGGCACATTCACCGACATTCACTAAAGCAAGAGAACTCAAATAGCTGATTTAGCTGCTGTCTTTCGTGAATTTCCATCGCTGGCTTCGGCGCTTGCTCATGTGTGGGGCCTTCGCAACCGCATCAACAACTGCGTCGTCAAAAACATTGACCATCAAAGTCGTGGCGTCAGAGACCTGAGTGTAACCTAAGAGCAATGGCCTCCAACCTACTAGCGATGGCCTCCAACCTACCAACAATAGCCTCCAACCTAGAAGCAATGCCTCCAACCTAATAGCGATGGCCTCCAACCTCCGAGCGATGGCCTCCAACCTAGTAGCGGGACTTGTGGCAGACTTGGACACCTTTGCTTTAAAGACTTTGTGCATCTGTTAGGTTGGAGGCCGTTGCTGTTACACAAGGAAGAACGAACGCAATTCAAACAGTAGAGTTCTCAAGCAATCACTCGGCACCCGACAAGCAGTGCCTCAGAGCCCAAGGCAAGAAGGGTCCAAGAACACAAACTGTGAATGCCAAAGAATTGCTAGCTAACAAAGGTATTGTCCTGTGGCTCATGGTTTCTCGTCACGTTTCATGTTTCACTAAGATCTAAACGCGGCCAACATGGTTGCCGCAAGGCCCACGTTCCGCGTCGCATGGTTCCGCCTTCGCTTCTGCATCGCTCCTGGGCATTGCTTTTTGTTTAAAGCCTGTGGCCCTGCCTCCTTACTTCACGAATGGCGA